TTTTTTTTTTTTTTTTCTGCACACTTTTCATTCATAGTTTCTTTTTTTTTCCTTCGTGATGATGTTTTGTTTATTTTAAATGAATGAAATAAACAGAAAATAAAAATAAATAGCTCCATTAGGTCAGCCACCCCTCCATCCCGTGAGCCCTTTGGGTTGGTGTGGTTTGGGTTGATGAATTCTTCCTGATGAGGCCAATGTTTGAGCTGGTTACCAGTTTCAGGTGTGAATGGATGTGAAACTACCTGGAGTGACGAGTCAAGCCTGACCTGCAGGTGGTAGAAAGACAGACCCTGATACCACCTCCTCACCTTAATGTTGTTTTTTATGAATTATTCAGATTCGTAAAATTCATTCAGATTGGGAGTGGTTGTGCAGAGGTTAGAGAAAGTGAGCCTGTGATCGGAAGATTGCCGGTTCAACTCCCGGTACAGACAATGCCACAATGTGGGTGATAGATGAAGCACCCACACCTGCCTCCACCCTCATTTGCCCCACTCTAGGCCCTTGAGCAAGGCCCTTAACCCCATCACCTGCTCCTCCGGGCGCCCTAGATAGCAGCTCTCTGCTCCACACAGAGGGCTGTGGTAGCTCTGTGGTTGCATCATGAAGGGCATTCAGCGTAAAAATTATTGCCAAGTCTTTGTGTGACTTGGTTCTCTGTGGTGATCCCTGAAGAAGAGAGCAGCTGAAAGAAGAAGAAAAAAATAATTATTCAGACTCAAGAGTTTTTCCTCCTGTCTTCTGTCTAAAACTTGCTCATCCCTGTCCTCAGTGTGTCCCTTGTCCTTGAGATATAGACAAAGAGTTGAGTTCTGACCTGATGAGCTGCTCGTCTGTGTCAGCTGCTGCATGGTCTCTTCAGGATGAAGGTCTGAAGTTTCCTCTCTGCACTGGACTGCTGACACTTGTCTTATGGTTTTGATCCCGCTGACCTCAAAGCACTGTAGATGCTGTTGAGTTTTGGAAGGAAAGGATTGTTGCAAATGCCTGAATAATTCAGTGACATTAAATGAAATGGCTTCAGGAAACTACGAGGGTTTCATTAGCGGCTTGTGGACAGTGAAGTTCTTTTTTTGATGGTTTAGCTCAATAACTGTGGATGCTGTTCAAGACAGAACTGAATGGTTGCAGTAATGAGGCAACAGAAGGATTCCTGTCTAATGATACTCGTCGCCTGTTCTTCCCACAGCAGTGCCAAACTCTGATGTCATCAGGATAGAAAATGCTGTCTATTTGGACATAAGACCCATTAACCACAGAGTTTTTAATTTATGAGACATTTTAATTTGACGTACATTTGACTTTTGTAAACTCTTTACTGTGGTTGATTGCAAGTGAAGACTTCGAACAGATTTCCTCCAATTCTGTTTCTAAAAAGCTTCACAAAAACTGACAAGAATGTTTCTTACTGAACATCAAAATATGTTGCACACATTTATGAATTTCTTTCTTAATGTGAATCGTCTTTTACTCGCGTGCTCACAGTTGGCTTCAGGCCCAGAACACTTGACTTGTCATCTTGAGATGTGTTGGTGCTCTTGTTTGTTATGATTTAATTCACCTGCTGTTTGGTGTGACTTTTGACCTTTGCAATAACAGCTGTTTGTCCTCTGCAGCCATCTGTGGGCTTTTATTGTCAAAAAAGGGGATGTTTCTTCTGCTGTGGAGGGTTACTCAGTTTATCAAGGTAGGAATCAACAGAAATCTTTTTTCCTCTCAACTGTTATTTCTTTTTTTTAATGGAACTCAAGAAGCTTGTTTGTTTCAACAGGATAATTTCAGTTTTCTATTGTTTGTCAGGATCCAAAGCTTCATCACAAGTTCAGATCTCTGGTGTTTTTCCATCAAAGTACGGGGAACTCTTCACCATCACCGCCAGCAGCCAGTGGGTGCAAGGTAACTCCTGTAAAACTCGGTCTCAGCAGGATCTAGCTGTAACGCATAAAGTAATGATGATACACCAACATCTTACTGAATAGAAAATTGGTTTAATATACCAAGACATTAAAAACATAATTCAGATTAGCACCCTCGGATAACTCTGTACGAGTCACTATTTATTTCATAAGAACAAAGACGAGGTGAGAAAATTTTAACACTTACTGCTTCCATGGGAGTCGGGTTGCTGCTCTGGAACAAACGGGTGTGTTAACAGAATGCCAGGATGGAAAGACATCAGCAGTGATAATGAATGGATGGATGCATGGCCGGATGGATACATGGATGTCAGTCATTGTGGAAGCACGGCTCAGTGGTTGGCACCGTTGTCTCACAGCAAAAAGGTCCTTGGTTCAATCCCCGGTTGGACCTGGGGTCTTTCTGTGTGGTGCTTGCATGTTCTTCTCGTGCTTGCGTGGGGTTTCTCCAGGTACTCCGGTTTCCTTCCACAGACCAGAAACATGCATGTTAGACTGCCTTCAGGCCCAGGCCTCCCTTGCAAAAGAGATCTGTGATCTTAATGGGATTTGCTTGGTTAAATTTAAAAAAATTGATGGATGGATGGATGGATTGTTGGATGGATGGACGGATGGATTGTTGGATGGATGGATGGATGGATGGATGGATGGATGGATGGATGGATGGATGGATGGAT